GTACAGGTCAATAAGGTATCATATGCAAATAAGTTGATGAACTCAGTCTGTAAATAATTGAATAGCATTCAGATACAGAATGAATAATAGGGGACCAAGCACACTACCTTGTGGTATTCCTGTGTAATTTGTTATACATGATGAGAAATAATCGTTCACGCATACTCTCTGTTTCATATTTGATAAACAATTAGTGGTAATAATGAGTGGTAATAGAGAGAGAAATATTCTTTATTGTTTGAAGAACAAACATTTTTATTGACAAATCGTATCTTGAGTTAATAGTTAAGAAAATAGACACTTAAAAAACACAAATCAGTCAGGAGATAAACCTAAATAATTTAAAACTAAATAATTTAAACAGAATATGAATTAAGTCAGAAAATAATGCATGGAGGTACAATATCGAATGCTACATCACACCAGGATAATTACACTAACACAAGATGACTTTAGTATTAGAATTGAATCCGATTAAAAATGTTTTATTAAAAGAGTCAGAAACGTAGTAGTATGATTTCTCACTGAGTAAAGTTTTCAACGAGAATGTTGAGCAATAAATTTTCCTTAGCTCCAGTGATAGATGGTTATATATTTTTGTATATAAGAGAGTATTTGACAAGAATTGAGATTGGAATAGGTAATCTAATATTTTCTGCGTTTTCTTATCAGACATGCAGTATTCAGTACGAATACTTAATAAATAATGGTTGAAAAAATCTCGATTTGTTGCTTTACACATGTATCGTATTGCTAGTTTTTGTTGGATTAAAATGGCCTGCATGTAGTTGTTACTAACCCCCCGAAGGCAATGCCATAATGCAGGCAAGATTTTATTTGGGAATGTAACCATCTTTGCGTTGAAGAGTCCGAGTTCATTGGATATGACACTAACTGCGTACATCTAGATGCTAGTTTGCTTTTGAGAGCCTCAATATGATTATCGAAATTCAGACTGTTGTCAGGAATTTTGTATGACGTTTGTTCTCAATTGACCCTTCTACCAATGAAATATTTTTAATCTACCCTCTGAAAACGATAACACTGGTCTTTGAGACATTGAAAAAAAGCTTATTTGAGTTACACCATTCTCTAATTACGTTATCATCATCATTAATTAATTTATTTAAGGACTCTAAATCCGAACTATGCCACATTATGGTGGTGTCATCGGCATACGGTGTAAAATGTCCAGATATTTTGACATTTGGCAAGTCATCGATACACACCAAAAAAGAACAACGGGCCCAGTATTGAGCCTTGAGGTACGCCAGTCTTCATGTACGCTTGTACAGAGAGTATAGTTGTTTTTACTATAAGGCTTCGACCTGACAGGTAGGAATTACACCATTCAAGGGCAACTCCTCTAATTTCGTAATGCTGAAGTTTATGTAACAATATTTCATGATTCACACAGTCGAACACCTTTAATAAATCACAAAATACTGCCGCTATCACTTCATCATTATTCAGCTCGCTGAATACTTTTTTTAGAAATGAAAAAGTGGCATCGTTGGTATTTTTGCTGTCTTGAAAGCCAAATTGAATGCTAACAAGGATGTTGTGCTTTTAAAAAAAAATCCACCATTCTAATTTCACCTAATTTTTCTATTATTTTAGTTATTGTAGGTGCTATTAGTCTATACTTGGCTGGGTCATCCCGAGTACCTCCTTCATAACTTGGAATTAAGACTGACGTCTTCAGAAAATCGGGGGAATTTGCAGAAGGACGTCAATTAGCGTAGCCATGACTTTCAGTGCGTAGTGTAGAGTTTTTTTAAAATTCGAATTGATGTACCATCCATTTCCGAAGGTTTTTTTTTTGTTTTTTATAGAATTGATAATTGCTTTAACTTCTCTCAAATCAATGTCAAACAGAAAAAGTGATTTCTATAATTCTGCGACTACGAATGTTTCCTAACGGATCAAAATGCATATTTTTTGACACGTTTTTCAGAGACTGACCAGTAATAGCAGTATAAATAAATAAATAAAAAATGAGATGTTTAGTGAACATGAGAAGGGTTTTAAATGGTTTATTTAAATAAGTAAAAAGGTTTCATGCAGGAATCTGGTTATCAGTTGCGGTTTGGTAATGGGTAAGAGTGAAGGACTGGCTTTGGCCCCATAGTTGAACATTTTCTGCGCCCACCGCGCCCCCTGGCTGGATCCACCACTGGTCTTAACATCACACTTGCTCATATGTGACTCTCAGACCAAGTAATTTCCTACCACATAGGTATGGGAACGGTCTTGGGAAAATTACAACAATGAGTATGAGTGTGGTCTTATAAAAAACCGTTGTAGAAAAGGTTTTTATTGGTGACTACCACAAAGTTATTTACTGAGATCATTTAGCATTTAGTAATTTATATTACATCAATGCAATTTCTAAGCTAAGTTTTTTTATTAGCAATTACATGGCTATAAAGATTCCCTTTCAAAAATAATGTTTTTTTGGGGAGTTGTAAGTGAACCGATTCACAGGCCAACGATGAAAAAACTTTTTTACTTAAAACACCTTATTATTCTGTTTTTAAAGGTGCTAAATCCAAATATGACACTTTTTAAGCCATATCACCTACCATTTTTTCACATCTGCACATCAATATATTAAATTTTTTTATTCAATACAAAATTCAACAACTTTTATATAGGTACTACAAATAAAATTGTAAAATAATTTGCTGGATGTAGAAGAGTTGGGGCAGCATTGCTGAAACACATTTACTGTCCAGAAAAAGGGGAATTATATTATTCTGCTCACAGCTGATGTTTTGCTTACTGTCAACCTAACCTTACTTTCTGGTTTCCAGTACATGTGCTAATTAAAATGTCAAATCGCGGTTAGACAGTTTTGCTGACAGTTTTTGTTATATTTGTGGTGTTTGTTATTCAAAAATTCAAAGAAACATTACAGACTTTTTGAAAAACGGTTATTTCTCCTATTTTGGAATTAAACTTGATGATCAGAATAAATCTTGGGCCCCGCATAAGGTATGTTATGTTTGTGTTGAAGATCTTAGAAAATGGTCAGAAAAGGAGAGAAAAAAGTCTTTAAGTACGCTGTTCCTATGGTATGGAGAGAACCTAGTAACCACACTGATGATTGCTACTTTTGTTGTATTGATATTACTGGCCATAACTCGAAAAACAAGAGTTACCCTAACAAGAGTTACCCTAACCTAATTTCCGCCATCCAACCAGTAGGACACGATGTAGATTTGCCGGTCCCAGAACCTCCAGATGATTTAAATTCTATTCAAACTGAAATGTTTTCCGATGTTCTGTCAGATATAGATGAGCAAGATGATGGAGAGTTCCAACGGGCTACAGCAAATATAGAGCCAAAACTGTTTACTCAGATTGAGCTTAACGACTTAGTTAGGGATCTTGGGTTAACAACAGAAAAAGCTGAATTGCTTGGTTCAAGACTAAAAGAAAAGAACTTGTTGGCAGTTGGAACTAGCATATATGTGTATAGGAAGAGAGAGAAGCAGTTTTCGAAATGTTTTAAACAAGAAGGTGATTTAGTGTACTGCTCAGGCATTCCATGTTTGATCAAAGAGTTTGGTGTTGAAAACAAAAAAGAAGACTGGAGGCTGTTTATTGATTCTTCCAAAACTAGTTTAAAAGCTGTTTTACTACACAATAGTAACACTTATGCATCTATACCTTTTGGCCATTCTGTACATATGAAAGATACCTATGAAAACCTAGAAATAGTGTTGAATAAAATTGGTTATTTGGCCATGGTTGGATGATTTGTGGTGACTTGAAAGTAACATGCATGCTTCTTGGTCAGCAAGGCAGTTTTTGTGTGAATGGGACAGTAGAGAAAAGGATCAACATTGCTGCAGAAAAAACTGGCCTTTGAGGGAGTCTTTAAAACCCGGCGAGAAGAAAATTCTCCGCAAAAACTTTGTAGATCCTAGAAACATTTTCTTACCACCTCTACATATAAAGTTAGACCTCATGAAACAGTTTGTAAAGGCATTGCCTAAAGATGGACCTTGTTTCAAGTATCTCTGCCAGAAATTTCCAAACCTTTCAGAGGCTAAACTTAAAGAAGGCGTCTTTGTAGGACCCGACCTTCGAAAAATGATGTTCGACGTAAACTTTGAAACTACAATGACCATACATGAGAAAGAAGCATGGGTATCATTCAAGCAAGTTGTTACAAAATTCTTAGGAAATGCAAAAGAGCCAGAATATCGCACCATTGTTAGCTAACATGTTAAAGAATTTTAAGAAACTAGGATGTTTGATGAGACTGAAAGTCCACTTCTTGAACAGTCATCTTGATTACTTCCCGAAAAATTTGGGAGATGTAAGTGAGGAGCAGGGTGAGCGTTTTCACCGAGATATCAAATTGATGGAAAAACGTTACCAGGGCCGCTGGAACATCAACATGATGGGAGACTACTGTTGGTAACTTCACTGTGAAGCTCAACGAGCGACTCATCGCAGGAAAAGCTACACAAGTAACTTCAAAGAAAAAAGAAGGAAAGGAAGTATCAACCAATTCCATCTAAGTAGTGAAACCTACATTACAACCCACTGTAAATAAAAACCATGATAGTGATTTAACATAGCAGATCACGAAGNCATCCTGAGTTAAGTTTAATGAGTAGGAATGAACTAAAATGTTGGTTGAATGAATTTTTAAAAAACAAGGTGTTCTACTCTCTTCAAGAATTTTTAAATTGTTGATGTTCATTGTATATTTTAATATTTTACTTATCAAAAATGTATATGTATAATCTTGTAAATTTTAATTACTTTTAAGCTCTCTTTGTGACTAGTCCAATAAGTTTCATGTATTTACACTTTTTTTATGTTGTACATGTGAACTTTAGTGATGAATAAACTTCTATTTTATTCTATTCTATTCATAGTGTTTCATTAATTTTACCATATACCGTACAGATTTCAAATTATATAAAGAAAAGTCAATTTCTCAAAAACTATGGGTGATACAAAAAAAACTAAGACCATATTTGGATTCAGCGCACAAAAATCTATAAAAATCAGCTATTAAAGTAAACAAAGTTTTCAAAAACATTTTTTCTGTTGGCCTGTTTATCTATTGAACACACAGATCATATCTAAACAGCAATATTTGCGGGTAAGGAGTACTAGAATAGTTCCCGACATGTTTCGGGGAGAGCACCAGTACTTTATGTTATACTTATACTCAATGTACTATCTACTCTTCATATAATGATTCATTTGTATCAAACTTCGAAAATTTGATGAAAACGTAGATACAATATCTTAATCTGCATTTACTTTGGTAGCAAAAGATGTCAGAGATGATATTTCATTAGGATTACCGTTTGTCGGTAAATTGTTAAACTCAAGTTCTTCTTCAGGAACTCCACTGGGCTCAGAAAGCCAGCGTTTGTGACTTGGAGCGTATAAAATCAACATTGCACAAATATATATGTTCCACATACCGTACACACCGGTGTGGAGCGCAGATGTCAATTCAATATCCATGGTTTCGTCCCATTTATTCTGACCTTCAGAAATCTGGGAAAGGATAAAGGAGACGATGGTAACTGCTGCACAGATGACAGTTGCTAACATGAGAAATTTGAAGCGATAAATAATTCCTTCATAATGTAAACGTCGAGCTTGTGACATGCTCGGCAGTAGAGACCTTTTCGTGCTTATATTTTGAAAAACTCGCCAGATCATAGAGCAAAGAAATATGAAATATATGCCAGCCGATATTCCAGCTAGTATTATAAAGGACAATGCCAGGTTAGTTCCGACCGGGGTTACCCAAATCGAGTAAAATGGGTTCACTAATTGTACTCCTCTTTCACATAGGTCGAAAATGAGTAAACAGAAACAACCTGTAACAATTGTTGTCAGATGTTTCCAGTACTTTTGTATTGTATTTTTTTTACTACTCTCCTGAATTAGCAGGTGTTCCCCTGCGAAAATGAGCCAGAAAGAAAGTAACATTGCGTAAAAAATTCCCTGGCGAATATCACTCAGCAGCAGCATATAAGGCATTTCAAATATGAGGCTTAGGTACTCTATTGGTAAATTAAGAAATGCCAAAGCAGAACCCAACGACATGATTACACATTCCAACAAAGCGGGGGAACGATTCAGTTTTCTTACTCTCCGCCAAAACCAAAACATAATTCCGAGAATTACTGGGAAAAAGAAAGTTTTGAGGCTCAACCAAATTTTTGTGAAACCCCCATTCATGTGTATAATATGTAAGTAAATATCTTCGACTTTACCTAAACCAGTATTTTTATAAGACGATACATTGTAGGGTAAACGCAAATTCAATAAATAATAATCATGGTATAAAGCTCCTAGTTCGAACAACGGTACCATTGTGCAGTCATACGGGTACCCATTTTTTTCTTTTCCTTTGATTGAGGCGTGGTCGAAGGTACATTCCATGAAGCGCTTTTCCTCGGCATGGTTATAATATTCCCAAGGCGTGCGGCTGCCATCCGGTTTTTTATCACTGTATGCCAACCTTGCATTGATAGTCAACTCAATCACAGGATCCAATAACTTCTGTTCCTTCAGATAAACCATATCCACCTGCAGTATCCCCACTAGATTTTGTTGCCAGCGAGAAAAATCCAATTCATACAGGGGCATCTGCATGACAAACACCTACAGATTTAAATAAAATTATCAAGTTATTTATTTAAGGCATAGCTTATCAGCTAGATCAGAGGTCTCCAAACTTCAAAGCCTTCGGGCCATAATGATTTTTTCAGTTTGTTTCAAGGGCCAATTTCTGCCCTTAACTATATTTCTAGACTAGGATAGTCGCAAAGTGCGTGACCAGAGCAAACTTACGCTTTTTTTGCATTTCAATTATTATT